ATTATAAAATTAAATCAGTTTTTAATATATGCTAGTAAGAGAAAAAAGTATTGGAAAGTATCAATAGTCTAGCTCTTATAGTTTCCGAGATGTCAGCGTTCTTCCGGACGGACAGACAGACGGACATGCCTAGATCGACTCGGCTAGTGATCCTGATCAAGAATATATATACTTTATGGGGTTGGAAACGCTTCCGACGAATCTAGTATATCCTTTTACTCTACGAGTAACGGGTATAACAAGTATTTGTATTTGAATTTTATTTAGAATAGGACATTTATACATTATAACGAGTTTTAGGACAGATCCTTAAATGTTCCACAAGTAAGCCCCTTTAATAATTTTACTAATTAAGGCATTATTTAATTTAATTTACGTTTATCAAATGCCAACCTGGCTTATCCAATCCCTTTAAAATATTTTCCCGCCACGACGACAACTTATGTAATTGACAAAAGCCCATCCTGGGCAACTTTGTGCCGGAATCTTTTTGGCAAAGTTGGCCCGCACTAATTACCTACATTAGGCCACCTGCACAGACTCGGCACACTCAATTAGCAACTGTAAACTGCAATTTCTATGCAGGCCAAGTGAGTCTTGGCCAACAGCAGCCGGTTAGCTCAAGTCCGCAACTTTGTCGTTTTCGTTGTTCTTTGCATTATTTATGCCACCCGTTTGACCTTTCGCCTTGATGTCGCTGTTCGAGGAGCGTAAATTTCGCCATCCCCCTTAAATGCGATGTTTTGTCAAATTAAAGCTGGGGCTAAGTAAGCCAGAGACAAGGAAAAGCGGAAGCACGACCGCCCGTAAACGCGACAACTTTTGCAACCGGAAGTGTAGCAGACGCCCAGCAACAAAAGCAGCGAAAGTGTGCGCTGAATTGGTTGTTCGGCTATAACGGATGCGGGGCGCCATCTTGCAGTTGTTCACAAACATGGCGGCAAAAGCCCAGAGCCAAAAAGCCACCCCACCTAGCTCAGCACCCACACCCCCAATACCATTCCAGCTATTCACGAGCAACAATTGCATTTTATTTATTGCATAACTAGCGGCGTTTATGCGTTGGGAAGTGGATAGCAACAACAGCAGAAAAACTAAACAAAAAATGAGAAACAAGTAAAAGTGTCCGAGACCAGAAATAGAACCATTCTTCCTTTCAGAGTAGCCAACCCCCCTACACTATCCCACTGGTCCAGCATAATAATTACACTCGCTATCAGCGCCGACATTTCCCAATGAAAAACTGCATTGGCACGCAACCTGTTGTTGGCTTCCTGCTTCGGTTGCCAACTCACTGGGAGAAAAACATGTAAATTGGCAAGAAAAGTTAATAAAATTAAAAAATAAAAATAATAAATTCATAAATCACTTAATTAACAAAGCATATTTTTTTAAAAATTTAATAAGCATAAGTCGAAAGTATTTAATGATTATCAACAAAGAAATACAGAGGCATACAAATTTGTAAATTATTTTCTATGGCTTATGCAAAAGATTTGAAAATAACTTAGTCTAAAAATTTCATTACATTTTCAGGCTTTTGATTCTATTGGTAAGTATATATATGATATAAAGCTACGTAATATTAAAATGTGTCATTTTATATTAGTCGGCTTGGATATTTGGAATACAAAAGGCATTGTTCTTTTAAAAAGTAATGGTAATTTTAAATTTATTTTTGAACCAAGGAAAGCCACACAATGGATCAAAAATAGTACATTTTCTCCTAGTGCAGCTACACATCCAGTTCCCCAGGTCCAGCTAAACGCTGGCTAAGAGGAGAGTAGCCTGAGCACACTGTCCAGGAAGAGGTCCCTCCTTTAACAGGTCCTAACTATGCAAAGCCATAAAACGCAAGTGTCGCACGGATTATTCATGGACGGGGAATGAAGATGAAGAGCCCAGCGGGCTGGCAGTGACAGGTAAAGGGACAGAAAAGAAACGAAGGACCAGTTGGAGGGATGGAAGAGATTCTTTGGAATAGGATTTAGAAGTCGAGAAGATAACTTAAGGCTAATTTGGCATCTTTGCTTGGAAAATAACTTAAATCTTACATATAAACCATAGAGAAAGAGGTTACAAATTTAGCAATAAACTTAAAACACAAAGTTATACAGCGGAGTGCGTCTTTAAGAATTATGAATGGTACAAATAAATTAATGTAAATTCAGCCTAATTTTTTTACAAAATCAATAACAGATTTATGTGTCTCAGTTTTTGACAAATGCTTTCCATAGTCAATAGAGATCTGGGATTAATATTCCATACTGCTGAACGAGGCCACCATGCTGTTCAAATCAAGTACCCAAATAGACATCCCTTTTGTACTATAAAGTTCTGGGCCTCGATTACATTGTATACCACAATCTCTGTATTGTCTAGAATATGAATTTTTACATCCTCATTGTTAGTCGCAAAACAATTTTCCGCCTTGAGCTTTTCGATCTCCGAAATCAATTCCAACACATCCGTATTAACCTTTTACATTGTGGCAGCCTTCAGGTTCAGTCTGTCCTTCAAGAGTATTAGAGTATTACGGCATCTCTGTGCTTTTGGTTTTAGCCCTTCTATTGTTTTATTTATAACGCTTAAGTACTTAAAGTCTACCAGATTTTTGAATTACTATTTAATAAATCGAAATATATCGAAATCTAATAAAATAGTAATAAGATAACTGTGGCTTTTAAAAATGTAATCAACAAACGTTGAACATTCTGACGTTCTTCCAAAATCAATTTTTTCATTGACCACTTTATTTCATGCTTTATTTGGTGTTAAGGCAAATATTTAAATAACATTTTTTCTTAGCTATGGTGATTTAATCGCTCAATTCGATTCTTTTAATTTATATATCATATGTATTGGTTTAAATTTTTTCCGTTCGTCACATCTCACTGCCTTTTCCATCCTGTTTCATTAGCTATCTCTGCTCTGCTCTGCAAACTATGACTTTCTATGGATTCGCTTTCAAATTATTTGTTCAGCTCATTTCTTTCATTTCGTTTTTATTTGGGTGCGCTTTTTTTGCGAATTTGATATGCGCTAAAAGTCAATTTATTCACTTGACTTAATTTGATTTCAACCTTCAAATAATCCAATCGGGTTTTTTGTGCGGTTGCACTTCAAGAGATGCGATAAAGCATTTTTTTTTTCCAGGTTCTAGAGTTGGTTAGTGCTATGTACGGAGTAATTTAAATGGTTGTTAAATTGTTACATATAAGTAAATATTATTGTTTCTGATCTTAAGTTAGAAAAATAAGTGGATTTTAAAAGTAGATTAAAGATTTTTTCTTTAACCTACCCTTAATGTTTCTAAAGCCTTAACTCTTTGATGTATGTATCTTTAGACGGTTTTACTTATAAGTTTTAATTTTTTAAAAACAAAGTTATACGATTAAGTAAACTAAACATAATTGTCTATGTTAACTATGGCTTTATATCAATATTTTTTCTAATTTTCTAATTTACATAATTTATTTACCAAATTTATATAAAATTATTAAAAAACAATTAGAACATCTCAAGGTAGCCTTGCAGATAATTATTCCATTAAATTCTTAAAGACCTTACCTAATTTTTAAATACGTTCTCGTATCGTGTTACTCAAACGCAGGGAACTATAGAAATTTATATTTATTTAATAAATGGATTTTTATTTAAAGATTTATTTAAATTTCAAAATTAAATTCTATTTTAATAATTATATAATATGACCGTAGCTTTGCAGTGTGTACAAATAAATTATAATATTATATAAATATCCTTTCAAATTCCTATAAATCTACCTAATTATCAAATAAGTCCTTGAATCGTTTGGCAATATTACTCATACGCAGTGAACGCCTACCCCATTGATTAAATTCAAGTAATTCACTGGCAACAGAGGTTCGATAGGAGCTGGCCCAATCTCGGCAGCCTCATTGTTAACCCGCACTCAATTTCGATTCCCAATATGCTCCACATAACCGAGAGTAGGGCCCGATTCTCTATGCCGGTAATCGTACGTGTGGAAAAGACGTCAGCACTGATTGCTGCATAAATGATTGAGCATGTGTGGCTGTGTGTGCGCCTGTCTTTCAATCCTCGTGAGTGTGAGGGTGTACGGGTGTGTGTGTGAGTGGGCTGGCATGACTTGCCACAGACGAATCCCAACTACTATCAGCATTCCTCCATGCAACAGGACCTGCATCTCGGGCGAAGGGACGGGGTTGCATTATATGAAAATTGATGGGAAATGCCAAAATATTTAAATCTAATTTTGTGCAAAAATGACAGGCAGCCAACAGTCGCAGAAGCCGCAGGCACTGCATTTGATTCTGATTGCAGTCCAGTTCTGACAGTGAATTTGGCGACTCTCGCCCCGGCAAGCATTTAAATATTCAATACGATTATATTTTTAAATATATAACCCGAGAGGAAAGAAATGAATTCTTGAATTTGACCGTGCCAAATGAAAAAGGCTTGCAGAAAACGAAACTTTATTCGAACGAGGGAGAGAAAATAAAGGTGATTAAATTGGATTTTTACCTTTGGCGTCGTTTTTCACTCGCGCAGATCGTGTTTATTTTAATTTGAAATGCCTCTGAATAAAAAGATTTAAAACTGTGCTTAAAATTATTTGGAAAAAAATATAATTATGTTTGTATAGAAAAAAACAAGTAATAAAAGAAATGACTTTAAAATTGCTTGTCATTTTTAGGACACCGTTTTATGTGATTATTAAATTGACAATTATTCACTTTAATTTATGCACGACTGCAAAACAATTAAATTAAATGTGATATATTTATATACAAAAAGTAAAATAATTCAACAAATGCCTTTTAAAGTGCTCGTCATTCTATGACAATTATTTGTGATGATTACATTGACGATTATTCAGTTCAACTTATACAGGTTAGAGGCAAAATTAAATAAAATGTTATTAATTGTTTTGCAAAATATAATTTTTTGGAATTGATTATTGGGTTTTAGTTTTAGAATTAAATTTATTATGGATTTCAATAAGATCGTGACAATATTGTGAATGGTTGGAATCCATGAAAATGTATTTAGCGTAGAAAACTTCAGTTCTTTACTGTATCGCCAACAGAATCAGGAACTGATTTTTTATTCTTATTCCGCATCTCAGCTTCATACCAATCCTTAACATACTCGACATTCATCTTGGAAACTCCCTCCAGATAGGTGACATGGTCCACATCGCTGTCCAAAGACAGTATCTCACCATAAATGAAACTCATCTTAACGCTATAATGTTCCAGGGCATCTTGTACACTGTATTCCTTAATCTCTGCCTCGTCTAGAAAATGCAATTTTACTTTCTCACCGTTAGTCACAAAACGAATCTCCGCTCCGGGCTTTCCAACCTCCGAATTCAATTCGAACACATCCGTCTTAATCTTTTTCATGGTGGCTATCTTTAAGCTGAGTCTGTCCTTCAAGATGTTGATTATATTGCGACATTGTTGTACGTTTTCTTCCAGGCGTTCGGTCAATTCATTAATATTGCCATTAAAGTTTTTGGGATCGGACATGAACTCGCGTATATCATAAATGCGTTCCACTTTGGGCACATTTAAGTCTTTTAAGTTAATGGAGAATAGTTCCTCACTCATCTTAGTAAATATGTATTTAAATACTGTTGCCTCTAAAAATTTAGTGAAACGCAAGCTGAATTTTCAAATCGTTTCACAATAGCAATTTTAACAATGACTACTATTTTATTCTAATTGCACCATACCTTTGTTAATTTACAAAAACTAGCTGCTTTTACTCAAAGGTATTATATCTTATGTATTTTATTATATCAAGTATATCATGATATAATTGATTTCAACTATATTCAAACAGCTAATATTTTATTTATTTATTATTTTCTTTTTACCTCTATATATTCACATGATATTTGTTGAAAAATACTAAAGAAAAATCTTTATAGCCAGAACCAAAGAGGGAGGTTTAAAATGGGCTGTGTTACATGTCTTCCAAATTGATAGGAAATGTGTTCATCGTTTGCCGCTATCCATTTCCTTATATTTGCTTCCTGATGCACTTAAACAGGACTCGAAATAAAATTTAAATACCGGCAAATTGTCTACCTTGGCACCTGTCTGCCTGTGCCCATCCCCCCAAAAGGACCTCCCCTTTTTGGGCCCAACCAACCGCCCAACAATCCAGCGTCATTCGCATTTGCTATTTCCGTTTTGCACGGCCGTGTTGCTGTGTTGGCATTTCATTTAGCGCACAACTTCACATTTGCCTCAGCCGTTGTCTTTCTGCCGCCTTTTCCCATCGCTTGCAATTGCCATTTCCGCTTCCTGAAATTTGCCATTCGTTACACACAGAAGAACACGGCGCAGACACAGATACACAAACACACGGATCTGACACACACACACACACGTGTAAAAAGGACTAAAAGGACTCTCTCTGAAACCGAAACTTAAACAGAAACAGAGGCAGAAACAGAAAGCCGCTCCCCGCATGCACCGACATTTTCATTTCCATGCTTGGGCGCATCGCAGCGAATCAATTATTCATCATCATCGATTAAGTAAGGGGAGCTTTTGCCCCCAAAACGGCCAACGGCCCACCATACATCCCCTTTTCCCTTCCGCCCTGTCACACTTTTATTGTTATGATTTCTGCCGTCTGTAATGGGCACACTTGAAGGACTCCAGCGACCAGTAGGAGCAGCCAAAGTCAGCAGGATAAGGACAATGGGCACGCTGCCTGCTCCATTTCGCGTGAATTTTACCCTCATTTTTCAGGATTTTCATGCGCTGTAATTGGCAGGCGTTATGGGGTATCTAACAAAATGAATTCACAGATTTTTACGATCATAAAAAACTTAAAATAATTTTAAGGATCACAAGAACCACCAACAAATTTATGATATTAAGGACAGGTAGCCACAAAATATTTGTCGCCGAACATTTATTTATGTGATACAGATACAAAATATTTAATATCTGTATAATAGCAGTTGAAATTTTTCGAAATTTTACATTTCCATAGAAAATTTTAAAATATTATATTTTCCCTTATATCTGCATTTTCTACATATTTTTAAGTGTAAAATACCGAAAATAAAAATGTTTTACAAATGATTTTATTATGATTAAATCTAATAAAAGTATGAGGTATGCAATTTTTTTTATTTTATTTGATACTTTACCCTTAAAACTCCTCCACAAAAAATTATAATGCTTTACAATTGATTTTATCATTTATTTCATACTTTACCCTTAAAACTCCTCCTCAAAAATTGTTGATGCCTTACAAATGATTTTTTATTTTATTTGATACTTTACACTTCAAACTCCTCCATAAAAAATTATAATGGTTTACAAGAGACTTTATATTTTATTTGATACTTTAGCCTTAAAACTCATCCACAAAAAATTTTAATGCTTTTCAAATAATTATATATTTTACTTGATACTTTACCCTTAAAACTCCTCTACAAAAAAATATAATGCCTTACAAATGATTGTGTTAGAAATAAATATTATAAACAATTACTTGAAAATAACCATTCTGTTATATTTGTATTGCCTACCCTTAGGCACCTTTTCTAAAAAAACAAGCTTACAAGGTAAAACATCTCTTGAGACCCACTCTTACATTCCTTCTTTTATGTTTTTGGTACTTTAATGCGAATCACTGGGACTCGGGTAGAAACTAAAAGCTGAGATTCGCCCACACACCCACGGATATGCCCACATATGTTATGCTGACATATCAATACGGAAGAGTGGCGAACCCTGCATGAGAAGCATACATATATCTACACAAACATCACAATACATCGTCGGAAAACTGGTTGGGGGTGGAAAACAGACGGACATGTGTAGAGTCGGCCATTTCCCTGCCCTCCCATCATGCGGCTGGGCCCTGCTCCTGGCGCTTATTTTCGCCATTATCCATTAAATATTTATGAAAATTGCTTTTGCTGCAGTTTTATTCACTTTCCAGCTTTCCTGCTTTCCTGCTTCACTTTGCATGCGTCGCGCGGGGCAATCCCCCACAGATCCCAAACTGAGTGCCAGAAAAGGAGGGGCCAGTGAAACAATAAAGCTTAAGATTTCAATTTCCTTACGGCTTAAAGCTGACTCTTGGTCTTTTCCCCCTTGTGTGCTCTTCCTGGCACATAAATCCCGGCAAGACATGTGCCTAGATAATCCAACATTATGAAAAAGCCGGGCCACAATAAATATTCGATTCAATGGCGCCATTTTTAATAGCCGAATGTTAAACGAGCTGCAAGGCTCTCTATAATGAAATATGGCTGATGTGATGCGAGATGTTTCCAATGTATTTGTTAGTCCTACGATATAATCTCAATGCTTAAGACTGTCTTTAGCAATATCTTCATAATAACTGAGCCAGGTCACTTGCACTCAATATTCAGATTAAGATATTAAGTACTAGACAAGCCCACTAAACTACCCAATGTGCTGAAGAAGGTTGTTGTCTTCGATCGCTTCTTACTTAGTATAGTTTTATATTTTGAACATAACACCACTGAAACATAATAACAAAATGAGTAAACTAACGTATTTTTAAGACGCGTATGACTGGGTAAAAAAATAATTAATAAGTATAAATACTTATAACATTTTTTCTTGTGCTTTTTTGTATTTTTGCTTTTTTGGTTCTTACCACGTTCCCAATCCTTGAATATCAATCTTAGCCATAAAGGATTTAAAACATAGACACTGCACGAAGATGGAAAAATATATTCAGGATACCGGAAACTATGGCAGATAGTCGCAGAATCACTATGAAACTAATACCGGAAATCACTTCATGAATATCTTACTAAGGTATAACTTGTCTATAGACATTTTCAGTACTGACAACCCGAAGATATTATCTCGCACTACTAACTAATCACATACATTATTCGATTCGATTTGTTTAGGGCGTATAAAATAAGGAAAGTTTGGGATGGAACATAATCCTTTAAGGATTCTAAGCAATATTGGTGAAGTAATGGTCTAAAATGATGTTTTATTTTAAATTTCGATCATAAGCTCAAGTGATCAATCTTAAAGAATCTTATACAGAGTATTCCCTAAGCTGTGGAAAACTTACTAGGTTAACATAGGCTTTCTATTCGTATAATTTGACTAGAAGTTAATTATAACCACTCATGAGTAGTAGTAGATTCGTGAAGGTATGCGCTTAATGGCAGTCCCTTTTAAAAATTGTCTTTGAGCCTCTTGTCTTTTCCTGTAAATCTTGTAGGAGTCGGAGCTTTATCCTTTGGCATTCCGATGCCATTCCGCCTGTTTAACACATCACCTACCGTGACACCTGGCGATGATTTTCCGGCTGGCGCACGTAGCAGCTATCTAAATTTCAATTAGAGTTTAAACCACCCGGTCAGGAGGAGCTGGGCTCCTGTGGCGTGTTCCATTTACCAGGTAGCTACTGCCTGGAAATAACTCAGCTCATTAGTTGCATGTTCATGTGCGGCAGCATTTTCACTGGGTGGCTGCAAGCCGAAGAAGAAACTGAAGAAAAGTTATATAATACCCCCGACTATCACATCTTGAGTATATTTACAATATAAATTTTTCAGCATTTTTTTTTCATGGGGTATGTCTTTTGGAAACGGCGCATCATAAATTTGTTGCGAGGGATTTGGTTCGGGGTATCTGGGCAGGTTTTCCTTCTGAGTAACGATACTTAATAAACCCGCATCATTTTCCCATTTGGTACTCGCACTTCATACGATCCCCTGCCCCAAGAACCATCGTGGTAGCACTTCCACTTCCCCTTCCTGTTGCTGCTTCCAAATTACCTGTCATTTCGAAATTATGATGCCAAGGAATCGCTGCTGGCTAAGGATGGTCCGCCCCCTCCTGGATACTGGATGCTGTCTTCCTGGGGATGCAGGAGCAATTTTTATGTTTATGGCAAAAAGTGCCTCCTAATTTTATTTTCTTTGCCGCGGGGCCGGAGGCGTTTTCGGCACACATATCTCAAACTAATGCCTGCGACGGGCGGAATGTAAAACCTTATGCGCATTTTCCGATTGTAATCTCTAAGCAGGATGAGGGTGTATATCATTTGGGGAGCTCCACGATGCCTGTCAGCAGGCCTCACACTTAGTTTTTTACCCAAAGCAACATGACAGCCCGATGATATTCCCTTAAAGTGGACATTTTCACCAAGACGTCGGCATCCAGAAAATGGTTAATATGTGATTTACTTCTGGCAAAAAGCTGACAACTGAGGTTTTGATTGGTCCCAGGAAGTGAAGCTGTGTCATAAACCAAATGAAAGTCAAAAAGGCAACTGAAGACGATGAACAGGCAATTGACAGATGAACACAAGTTGGGGCATAGAAATCGAAAGTTTTCTTTAATATTGAGGAACACAAATTTAGTGTACAAATATTATTTACAAATTTTCAAGTAAACTCAAAAAAAAACAAGATCATTGGGCTATTTTCAAACCCAAATGGGCTTGAAAATGCCACATGTACGAAATGGGCTTAAATTTTATTTCAAGAACGTTTTATTCTTAAATCATCTCGTCCACGCTCGGTTTTAGAAGTATTTTCAATTTCATAATCAATCTTACTTGTTTCTTCATGTTTAATGAATAATGTTCTTGAACAAAGGATATTTTCGGATGATTTCAAATTTAAGAATGATTCGTTCTTGATTTAAGAACACGCACCTTTTTCATTCTTAAAACAAGCCTAAAAAATGCTTTCGGGTAATTTAAGTAAAATGCGCTTAAATTAAGGATGCGATTTTATCTGAGTAAATTTTATTCTTGTTTCGACACTCTTTAAGATTCTTAACAGAGGTCAAAAGTTAAAACACCATCCTGTGTGAAACAGCCAATGATAGACTTAGAAACCCTTCAACGACCCATCCATTTGGTATATTCATGCATTTAAAACCATAAAACAGTCAAAACTTTAAACAATATTGTTTAATTCGATTTAAATCAACAAGTTGAGTACCATGATGATACAAAATTTCAGAAACATCAATCTGTTTTTTTTCTCCGACGTCAATTTGGTGGGATGACGAGCATTATGATCCTACTCTAGGCCAGTTTGAGGACTAGATTTCGGGAACCAAGCTGCTGTCCGGCAATTTTCCGTCGAGACTTCGTACCAGGAGCACTCCGGCACAAAAGGCAAGGGAACACTTGACGAATGACCACGAATGATAGTCCCTGTAGACCGACCTACACCACTCCATGGGTCTCAGCTGCGACCACAGAGACATATTGAGCTTGAAAAATTTGCGGTGGAACTAGTCCTAATCGAGCTAGAGGTGTGGGCGGGTGGGTGCCAATGAATTACGATTTAATCTGGACGGATTACTTACCAATTTGTATGGCGATATGTACACTCACGTCGGTAGATATATTTGGAAAATGTGTTTTATCTGCCCAGGTATATAGAGCAGAAACGAATGGCAATTTCATGACACACTTGCTCAAAAGAATTTCTGATTTTGGTTTTGCGTATACATTTTTCAGAAATGCAAACAAGCAAGTGGGTCAAGACAGCCAGCCAGCGGGCAGATGTGTTGATTTGGCAAGCTTGTTAATTAGCCAAGAAATTTATTTGCGAACCATACACACTAACTTATATACGATAAACAGATTAACTTATGCGCCATGTGCATATTCACTTCACGGAGCTGCTAAAGTTTTTCTCATTACTCAGGCATTGATTGCAAATGGTGCAGAAGATTTGCTGGAAAAATATAAGTGGGTTGTAAATGAGAGAAATATTAGAAATTGTATATTGCAAGTAAAATACACATGGATTCGTTTAAGTCAAGTGCCAATTTTGTATTTATCGTATTTATTAGAATAAAATTCGGAATTATGGGAATGTTTGGAAAATCTATTTAAAAAATATTTTAAACGAATTTTAGCCAATTGATGATAGTTTGGTTGCAGTCGCTCTATCGAATAGTTTACAAATTTAAATATTAGAAGGACTAGAGTTCGAGTAAAATACACATGGCATCTTACAAGTTTCGGCTATGTTGCTATCAGTCAAGTGATACATTTTTTTATATTTATCATATTTATTAGAAGAACAAATTCGGAATTATAGAAAAGTTTGGAAAATCTATTTTTTTAAATTATTTGAATCGAATTTTTGCCAAGCGATGATATTTTGGCTGCTATGGCTTTATCTATTTACAAATTTAAATTCATTTTAATAAACAATAATGTTTTGCTAAATATTATAAATTATAGTATAAAATTTAATGAATTAATTTTAAAATGCAGTTGTCTATTAATAATAAGTTCAAGGATCGTGTGAATAGATGATAAATCGTACTGAATCATTCAAAAAGTCGTCTGCTTTTATTTTACCAACTCCATTTAAAATTCATTTGATTAAACAAAATTATTTCAGGGTTTGAGTATAAAAGTTGAAAACCTTTTAATAGAATTTTAATAGAAATTTAAATCAATGGTGAAAAAAGGCTTCTCATTTTTCGGACATTATTGAGCCTATTGCATGTGCGAATAAAATGTCAACTATTTTTTTGTGACACCACAGATGTGTTCTATAATTTGAACAACATATTTATAGTACACTGAAATTTATAAATTTACTGGATTGCTGTTATAAGTTATAACATCTATGAGGGTATGAAATTCCTGTTATAATCTGTTACACTTTTGAAGGTTTGAAACTTGTATTAGATATTCAAAAACAGCGACTGCAACGTGGGATTTTAGGCACTCCCAAGCTAATAATATGTATCTTGACTGGAATCTATATGTTCAACTTACTGGCAGCGAGGATCGTGCGTATCCGCCGCAACCCCCCTGCGAGGATCCCGTGCTCTCGAAGTGCCTCAGCCAGGACTTGATCACGTTCGTCGGCGGCGTCTGGTAAATGCTGAACTGCTTCTTGAAGAGCCGCTGGGCTCCGCTGATCGAGTCGTTGCTCTTGTAGTAGGCCCGAATGACGAACGCCCGGTGCACACCCGTCCACTGATCCATTCCGAATGCAACTGGCGCCGCCGCAGAGAATATGCCATGTGCCCACTGGCACTGCCAGTTCGCTGGTGCGACAGTTTTCGCCGGCACTTCCGGCTCATGGCCGCCATAAAAAAGTGCTCGTTGCCCAAAATCTGAAATATCTGAAAATGTTGTGCGAAAAAAATTTCAAACATTCATAATTTATTTGAACGAAATTAATTGGTCCCAGCGCGTAGGGGGGGGATGGGCAGAAAGTGGGGGTGTACCGATGCCTATATGTGCAACGTTTTGCTTCTAAAATTATCCACCGCACGACGGCTGACGCGGCGTATGAGCAATCTGAATTTCTTCTTGCTAGAAATTCATATGCGGTCGGTCGTGCCTAAGTTTCAAGTGCAAACTAAGGAAGCCCCCCGCCACCAATCCTTCAGCTATCAATCAATCAATCGGGCGAAGCCATCATCATTATGCTTCATCAGTGCCAGAAGTATCTCATCATCGATGCGGGGGCGTAACTGGAAAAGGGGGCGGTGGCGGTGCTGTTCGATTTGCGCCCAAAATCTACTTGAACTCATTTAAAGTTTGGCTACAACTTAAATCCGCTTTGCGATTTTGGCAAGTGAGTAAGCAGTTGGCAATGCCAAAGTCTTTAAGCCGTTTTGTTGGCTTTATTTTGCCATCAATGCCCTAACTTGCGGCTTTTTGGTTTTGTCATTAGCCTGGTTTAATGATTGCAATTGTCATTTAATTTTAATGTTATAATATAGCTAATAATTGCATCTTGTAAATTAAAATTTTACTACTAAAAGATAGCTACATAAAATATAGATACCAACTTAACATTTTTTTCCATTTCTATTTCTGTACGATCTATAATTTAAATTAAGGAAACGTTGTGGGTACACATGCAAATGTATTTATGAGTCATTCAAACTTTTATATTTATTGCATCCAAATAGTTTCTGTTAAATACACAAAATAATATTTTCAAGTTAAATTTGGGTTGCTTAAAATAAAATACAATAATAAAGGCTTATAACACGCAGAGTAAAGCCCAAAATTTGTTTAAATTTATATTAATAAAGTAAAAATTTGAAAACAATAAACGGACTCTGGTTCAAAGTCTTTTGTTGGGAATGCCACCTGTAGTTCTCTTTATTAATTCCATGCTGGTTGGCTATTTTGAGAGCTTTTTTCCCATGTTTATACGAGTAGTGTATTCAAGATTTTACAAACGAAAAGCACCCTGCTGTTTCTGCTACTTCTTTGTTGATTTTGTTTCAGAGATTTTTTGTTCGCTTCGCCATTTTGCTGGACCATCGAGCACGTAACTGCAATACAATGCACGGCCATCGCTTAGCTAGATATAGCTATAGATACAGATACATTTATGTAGTTCTTGTTGTAGCTGTGCTGTAGCCTTTGTTGCTGCTGCAGCAAAGTTAGCAAATGCTGCTGTCGCTTTGCCATTTACACAGTTAGGCGGTCTAAGAGGCGGATGGGGGCGGGGCCGAAAAGGGGCGGCCCGGAAGGCGGCCATCCATCCATCGCACGTCCAACCCACTCCTCTTGTATCTTAGTGTATGTGTGCATCCTTCGTTTCCGTTCTTTTTTTTTTTAGCTATCTCTGCTTGTCATTTTGACACCTTCATTTGCTCTGAACATTCAGCTCCAGTCAGGGGGCAGTGATTCTGTTTGCTTTCGTAACTTTTTTGCCCCTGCCATCCAAATGTGTGTGTTGGATGGTGGTGGTGTATCTGTGTGGGCCGTTCGAGAGCGTCATTTTGGGTGAAAATGCTTTAAATTGGGCGGTCAGGGGGAAATGCTGCACCCTACGGTCAGATTGTTGAGTAGTAAATGAACACATTGTCTGCTAATTTATACTAAAAAGGGCAAAAATAATTGTATTTTTTTCAGCGCAAACGTTATTTAAACGTTTTTATAAACGATATATGTATTCAACAAGTGTGTAATCCAATATATGTCTTAATGAAACTAATTGTTAAAATTTTTTAAGACTTGTTAATACATTTTTAATTCAAAACCAACATTCTGCATATTATTTTAGGATTATATAATGATAAACAAACATTTTTAATTCAAAACGAACATACTGTATATTAAATTTTGGTTATATTATGATAAGAAAAACTTTGGTGCTGTTTTAAGTTTGTTGCCAGCTTGTACTGCATGGTCCATCATTTTTTATTAGTTTTGGATGACTAAATACACACAGTCAATATTTTAAAATAGAAATTTGTCGAAAGCCGCAATTAGCTTTTTAATTTACACATACCTTGGAAAAGAATTCAGCTACAGAACTATGTTGAATCTATAAAAATTTTAATGGTTTGAAATAATTAGTTTTTGAAAACAAGCGTTTTGTACATGTGGAAACTTTTAAATGCTAGTTTTGCTCTAAATTATTTAGTGCTAATTTACATTAATATTTAATAGCTCAAAAATAAATACTAAATACTTAACGGTATTGTATGCTATAGTATTGTAAGAAAAAAAAATTTGTACCATCTGGCTGAACCTTATTTAAAAGAATAAATCTTTATAATTTGTTTAAACAATTTAAACGTGTTTAAAAAATAATATTTCGGGCTTGAAGATGAATAAAATGTATTAATCCAAATATTTTTTCAATAAGTACGTAACACGTAGTATCTATAAAATTACTTCCTTCCTATCTCTGATGCTTTGAACTGAGATGCCTGAAGAAATACCCGCATTGTCGTTCAACTCTTGATACAAAAAAAGAAGACCGAAAAAGAAATCTGGAGGAAAAAGCAACAATGCCAAGACAAATGATCCAATGACTGTCTGACTGCACTTTGCCCCATATCAACCGGCCAAAAAAAAAGGGAGCGAAGCAAAAAATTTAAGGAAAATGTATCGGGTTAGGACGCCCCTACCACGTAACCCCGGTCGCTGTCTCAATTTCGGTAAGCGTCCGTTTTTGTATGTAAAGTTGGTGGATTTGGCACCACCCACGCTGGATGATGATGACAAAGGGCAGCGCAAAAAGCAACTCTCAACTGGGTCAAGACTTCATTGTTTATCTTTTTGGAAGCACTTGTATCTGTGTGAGCTAAGAGCCGGAAAAGAGGATTCCACACACACACTCGAGCCCGCATTCGGAACTTGCATTAGATGGTTTCGAGCATTCTTCAGCTGGCAAATTAGCAGGGAGCCCAGCTTACGGTTATATATTAAATTTTGCATGGCAAATGCGCCGAAGAAGGTCAAATAGCTGGGAGGCTGGGGCAGCAGGACGCTTCCATAAGCATTTCACTTTCCGGCGGGGCCGCAGATAAACAAACTCTCACATTTACATGGAGAGAAAAAAGGGAACGGAAAATATCTAAAAATATAGGTAGGTATGTCAAACAATTATACAGAAATTAAAAATAAATTGGAACATGGCTTAAAGTTAATTTAATAAATAGGTTTCTCATCGAAATCATAAAAAGAGCCATGACAATTTTCCTTGTTCATAATTTGTACAATTTATCGCGTACCATTTAGAAAATACAAATTGTACATCAAATAATTTATTATGCTTATCAAGGTGTCTATTAAACATATATTTTCATATGGCCATCAAAAATACAAAGACATGAAAAATCTACTTTGTATCTCGAGATCCCAATATCATATTTTAGTGGTGTTTTAAAATATGAAAGTTCAACAGCGAATGGTGCCACACATATCACTAGGGTTTTTAAATGACCTTTGAATGTTATCTCAGGTTTCTAAAAATATGCAGTGAATAAAGGATAGTTGTCTTTCTGAACGAATGTACGGTACAATTCATACCTAACAATTTAAAATATATTGTTGCATACTTTTAGACACCTAAAATCATATTAAAAGGTGATTTAAAATCCTTAGTGATTTGAGTGATATATTTTGTATGTAAAAATATAAACAATTATATTCTTTGAACCTTTTTTATACATTAAGTTCTTCTATGCAACTTCAGGAAGAACATGAAATCGTGGTATATATAATTTTTAGTTTTATTGCTTTGCACTAATATATTTTTTCTCTGTGCCGCTACGGAATTCGAGGAGTTCGCTTGGTTGTAAATCTGGCTAAAACAGGATAGTAAGCTCCGGCAGATGCAGCGGAAGCGGATGCAGGAAGCGGGAGATGCGGGAGATGCGGAGTGGAGAGTTCGGAGAAAGGGAAATCCCATCGCCAAGACACGCGCGGATGTAAGGCGTTGATAGCGTCGGCTTATCGGCCTTCCGAGAACTGGGAGCCGTTACTCCCGTTACTCCCGGGATGCATCCTGCTGGGGGACACATTGCGTGCGCGGGCATTAAAGGAGTCTTAAAGTGGGGGCGCATATGGTGGATGCAACCCAGAAGTCGAGTGAAAGTTGGCAGCCAGAACAGGCCACTTACTTAGTGCCCTTTTAAGCAGATTTACCTTACTTCAGTTGAAAAGTGGCTAAAGTGTAGGTATTTGTCGAATTAGATCAGGGAAAATCTGTTAATTGAAAGCATTTATTCCACTGCAGCTAGTCCATAATCCGAATATGGTTGCTCAACATCACAGTCATCTTAAATCTGTGTAGTCTTCGTTTCTCCTCCTATTATAAGGACTCCAACAAGTAAAGATCCAAAAATATGAAAAGTTCTATATAATTGTTCTCCGGTTTTTGCAGCTTAAGCGTAATATTGCTGATTTAGGTATGGTATTTTTCCAAAGCATCATCGATGGGAAGACATTTCTTGAATGGCATCATTATTGCCCATTTATCTTTTTAAAAATGTTGCGACCTTCTCCCCCTTTTTTCTCCTATTTTTTATATTATCCGTTCTCGTTCTTCTCGGTTCAAGCTCAAAAATGCAATATTTTTGAATGTGTGTTCGTCCTTTTCATGAACATGAGTCTTATTTTTCCTGACCAACCTCCATGTTTTAGAAAACAAAAATATTGCATATTTTTGGGATGGAACACAATTTCATTACAGGCAAAGCCGATAAGTATATTATTAATTTTCGATTAGTAATGTTCTTTTGCTTGTACAGTCGAACTTCCACAACTAGAAAATCTGTAACTTGAATTTTATTTATAACCAACTTTCCCGCCCGCTTTTTCACATATATATGTCGATGGTTACTAGGAACTCATTTTATTTGCGCTCTCAAAGTGTATACACTATAAGTTTAGTATTAAATCAATCAAAATATATAATAGCAATCAAAAAATATTTTTTTTCTACCGAAAGCCCCTTTGTCTCAAACTTTTTACTTTAGAGATGAAAGCTTGAGCATTGGAAGTTCAACTGAATATTCTTAAACCGTTTACCCAACGACTTATTATTATCTCAATTTTCAACTGATGGCAGCAAGGTTACCATATGGAGATTATCGCGAAATCACTAGAAAACTGCAACAAGTGCGGTGTTCCACGATAAGTTGAAGCCCACAGCGGTATGCATGTACCAATATACGGTTTAATCCATACTTTATGACACAAACATTACCGAGGAGTGCGGTTTCGGTCTAGGGACCTTCGACTACTACGGTTGGCACCCATTATGCACACCACCCCAAAAGCCCGCCCCGGACATACACGCACCCACCCACTCATAGACTAAATAGTTTATGTTGTTTACCATTCAGCTGACTGTTGTTGCTGCGTTGGCTGCTGCACTTTGGCATTAAGCGAACACGGAGCACGTCCTGGACACTCAAAGTCATTTGTGGGTCTTGCCAAAGTGGGGGTGTGCTACGAATCGGGTGATAACGGGCTTAAAGTGAAATATCTCGACCACTTTTCGGCCTACCTGTTCAGATCATCAATTCAGAAATAAGCTTCATGAACATAAACAGCCAAGTTTAAAGATTTTTAAAAAGATTTACAAAAAAAAAAAAACAAAAAGGTGTTTTCTGCACCACTACAAAGTTGTATTTTCAATTCTATGGCACGACAAAAATTTATAAAATTATAAAAAACATTGGTATCCAATAGGAATGTGAGGGAAGCGGGGTTTTGGGGGGTAAATACTCCCCACTCGCAATACAAAAGTTTTATTAAAAATCCCCACAACCAAATCCTGGATTCGCCACTGCACTTCACTGACCATGTAAACCTTAATTTGTTAGTAAATAACAAAAAAAGCCATCGGAAGATATTGACCGATATCTATGTATTGCAAACATTGTTATGCTTAATCCCAACGTTCTAGCTTTCAAAGTTCATGAAACCTTGACGTTTGTACGGGTTCAATCAAAAATACCAATTTCATTAGAATATGTTAAATGTTTTAACAACCAAAAACACCTTAATGAGGTCAACATACAATAGTTATAATATCTGGGGGTGATAAATTGATAATATGAGGGGAGCGGAGACCAAAATCCTGAAAACTATGATTACGTAAAATGTGGACAGTTCCTTAGCGCACCCCTATATACAACTTGTTATCCATTCCCAAATATTGTAGCTACATTTCAACACCATAATTTTCTATTGCCGCATTCTTCCAGCCTTCTAGTGCATTTCGTCACTACGTGTACTGCCCTCGAATGAAATTAGACAAGGTGTGATTTAATCACAACTTTTCTCCAAGGACCAACAAAACGATTTCGACAAATTTGTTGGCTGCGCCTGGGTAAGTAAGCGTACTGTAAGAGACAACTTGCTCTCTTCCATAAATCTCTTAAGAAATGCAGTTGGATAAAGATATCTTGAAGATACATAATTGGAAATAAGATGCGACCATTAAACTTTTATAACCAGTTTGAATAAATTTATTTTTACCTACTACAAATAATTACTTTATGAACCTTCGAGATTTTGTAAGATATTTACAATTTGTTATTTGAATAAACCATAT